GCAGTTAAGAGCACCGGTTGCTCTTCCAGGGGAGCCTGGCTCAACTCCCAGCACCCACAGTACAGCTCACAACTGTCTCTAACTCCAGTTCCAGAGGATCCAACACCTTAACATAGATACACATGCAGCCCAAACACTGATGTACATGAAATTAGAGAGAAATTAGAGAGGGAAAGGGGGGGAAGGGAAAGAAGGAGAGGGAAAGAGAGAAAAAAAGAGGGAGACAGAGAGGGAGAGGGAGAGAGAGAGAAAGCAGATTCTAAAGATTACAGAAATAAAGTAAGCTATCCCATTACTAGCATCCTAGAGCTGGGGGGATGATTCAGTAGGTAAAGTGGTTGCTGCTCAGGCTAGGGATCCAAGCTTGGACCCCGAATCTATGTGAAAACTTGGCATGGTGGCAGGCATCTGCGACCTCAGCTCTGAGGGGAAATGAGACAGACAAATCCCTGGGGCACTTGGCCAGCCAGTCTAGCTGAGAACCAGCAAGCACTGAATACAGTAAGAGGCCCCGTCTCAGAACACGGTGGAACTGACAGAGGAGAATCCGGATAGATACCTCAGGGCTCCACATGCTCGTGCATTGGGTGAGCATACTACCCCGCCCCCACATGCATAAACATGCATACACCACGTGAATAAACATGCATATACCACACACTCACACATACACATGCAAACGCATGCACACACATGTATGCACAAAAAAAGGATACAATTTTAAAAAAAGGAATTATTTTAAAATACTAGCATCCTAGTGTTGACTACATATAATCATCATAATATTTTTTTAGTCATTGACTAAACCTATAACTATTTATAGGTTGGATAAAATAATTATTTAAATTAACTTTAGATATATTTCATTGTGTATCTTTAAAAATAAAAAATTTAAAATTTCTTATCAAAAATATTAAATAATATTAAAATAAAAATTTCTAATAATGTATCTGAAGAATATAAAAAGAGACACAGTATTAGAAATTTTGGGCCCAGTGGTGGTGGTGCAGGCCTTTAGTCTCAGGACTTGGGAGGCAAAGGCAGGTGGATCTCTGAGTTTGAGATCAGCCTTGTGTACAGGGTGAGTTCCAGGACAGCCAGGGCTACACAGAGAAACCCTGTCTTGAAAAACCAATAATAATGATGACGATGATGACGATATAGAGAATTTTAAATTGCAAATATGGCTTTCATTATATCTCGTCATTGAACAGTGCTGACCTATGCTTGCTGGAATGTTTCGTTATGAGAATTTCTGTGTGAACTGCTCACTATGCTTTAAAACAAAGCAAATTCTCCTGTATAAAATGTTTCCTAGACCAGAAAGACAAGATGCCACCATCTGCTCAGCCTAGGTAAGGCTGCCAGTAATAAAGCTTAAAGCATATTATGAAATCGTACTCACACCATGTAACTCTGGGGCTTCTTTTCCATTGAGAGTCTCTCCAGGTAATAAGACAGATAGTACAACAGGGCCATGAGGAAGCTGTCAAGATTCTTATTCCTACAAAGAAATTGAAGACAAAAGAAAAGCAGAAACCAACATCGGGTTTCTCATAAAGCACAAAGGGACACAGTATGAGAATAAATAGAAATATATGGTTCTAAGTCTACCACAGACTTACTACCCACTGTGCTGGAGATGTAAAAGGCGCCTGAAAAAGACTCATTCCTGGATAGTAAGATACCAAATTATTAACGTGTTGTTAATTATTTCACTTCACAAGTATTCGTTCTCTAAATAACATATTTCCATGATTTGTAAAATGTACAGGCTGGACTTGGTGGTTCATACCTGTGACCCTGAAATCTAGAGGATCTCAGGTTCCAGGCCAGCCTGGGCTGCTAAACATAACCTATAGAGAAAACTTCTCCATACCATAACCCTATTTCGATATATAAGCAAAAGTACAGAAGTATATAAGTATATGAAGCAAACATACTCTTCTCCTGCGCTTTTTTTTTAAAAAACATCTCATTCTGGAGATTCAAACGCCGGTGCCCATATGCAACTGTCTCTCACTCCTTGCTCTAGGACTTAGGAGCTCCTGTGGCCTCGGGGAGCTCTCCCAGACTCTAGTCTCTGAGAGGATGACTTACACGGAGGCACCATGTACTCTTTCTAAGGATCAGACCTGTATTCACTTCTGAGACAAAAGTCCCTGTAAAAGGGGAAGGGTGCACACTGTCTCATCAGCTGTACCTCATAAACGTTGTGAAGGAACAGATCCGCTGCATCTCAGTATCCTGGAGGGAGAGCAATGCAACAACTGAAAGAGAGGAGGCGGCCGTTAGACAGAGGTGAGGAGACACACGGGAGGCCGGAGGCTGCACTGAGCAGTGGGGGAAGAAAGTGGCTCACACTTGACATCATCCAGCGTGACATTGCCCTGCTGACCTCGTTTCTCCAAAGCCTTAGCTGATTTTTCATCCCTTGAGGCAAACCTCTTATCTGTCAACCTGTTTGAAAATAGAATAGTGTCAAGTGATTTTTTAAAAAGTTATTTGTATATAATTCGCAGGAGTGTGCATTACATTTGTGCAGTGCTCAGTGAGGCCAGAGGAGGGTGTTGAATCCCCCAAGGACAGTTACAGCCACCTGTGAGCTCTGGGAGCCAAATCTGTGTCCTCTGGAAGGGCAGCCAGTGCTCTTAACCTCTGAGCCACTGCTCTGTCCCTCAGAATATTTTAAAAGATTTAGCTGTGTCTAATATATCCTGAGATGCACAAGGAATTGACTTGTAAAGTTTAATTTAATGTAGTATTCATTATTTCAAAATGCACTTTATTGAACACTATCTGTTATGCTGGAAGTGGAAGCATGCAGACTGACATAAAATATAAACTCAAATAGATCATTTTTGTTTGTTTGTTTGTTTGTGTTTTGTTTGGTTTTTTGAGACAAGGTTTCTCTTTATAGCCCAGGCTGTCCTGGAACTCACTGTGTAGACCAAGCTGGCCTCGAACTCAGAAATCTGCCTGCCTCTGCCTCCCAAGTGCTGGGATTAAAGGCATGCGCCACCACTGCCTGGCTTGTTTTGTTTTCTTAAGACAGGGTCTCTCTGTGTCATCCTGGCTATCTTGAAATCCACTCTATAGACCAGGCTAGCCTCCAGCTCAGAGATCCACCTGCCTCTGCCTCCTGAGTGTTGAGATTAAATTCACATGCTACCACTGCCCAGCTTTCAAATGGATCATTTATATCACTTAATGGTTTTAGGATGTGATTCAATTTGCTAAGAATGCATGAGGTCCTGGATTAAATTCCAGGATGGGTGGATGGGTGGATGGGTGGATGGGTAGATGGATGGATTGGTGGGTAGGTGGGTGGATGGGTGGATGGATTGGTGGGTAGGTGGGTGGATGGATGGATGGATGGACAGATGGATGGATGGATGGATGGATGGATGGATGGATGGATGGATGGATTGGTGGGTAGGTGGGTGGATGGATGGATGGATGGATGGACAGATGGGTGGATGGATGGATGGATTGGTGGGTAGGTGGGTGGATGGGTGGGTGGAAGGAATTCTGGTGTTACTGCTATTTTCAGATTTTAACTGCTATTTTCAGATTTTAACAACTTTGAAATGCACTAGTAGCCATGTTATCAAGGGAATGAATGTCTAGGGGCTGTTTGTAAAACCAATTGTAATTGAGATCCTGCCTGTGTTTCCCTTGACGGGTATTTTCATGACAACCTAGGAAAATGGGACTGGTGTTTCTTTGTGTTTGTAAAGACAAGTGAGCCCACTGAGAAATGCCGTGGTCAAAGTGAAGCCACCTTTCTGAAGCTCTGCCGTCCATCTCAGCGAAGTGAACTGCCTTCCCTTTCTTGCCTTTCTCCTTGAGTTCTATTGCGGGTGTGAAACTGCAACGAAAAGGTATGGTTAGGGACTTACCTTTTCCCAGGGGATGCCAGACCCTACCGGGGGATGCCAGACCCTACCGGGGGCAGAGCTCATGTAGCCTGAAAATTGGCACATATTAGCCGTGTTCAAACCAGGGTGTATTTTACATGTGGAACCACTATCAAGAGGAAGGTTCACACCTCCGACTCCCACTCAGCTTCTAGAATAAATATCACCATTCATAAAACATTTCTGTCTGAACACCTTGTGGTAACGTCACAAAGAGCAAGCTCATAAATGCAGAAGACTTCCTGTGTCTATTGAGTACTCTGACAGGCTGCGTACTGTTAGGCAGCATCTCATCCCTCATTCTATGAGGAAAGCATCAATGCCATCATTTTCACACCAGGGAACTGGTCAAGCCCGAACAGGCTGCAAGGCCTCGAGGCACAGAGCTGTGTACTTAGTCACCAGGCAGCTCTGCCTCTCAAGCAGCCATCAGAGTTTAGCTGCCCTGGTGTGTGTGTGTGTGTGTGTGTGTGTGTGTGTGTGTGTGTGTGTGTGTTTTCTTAAAGAGAAAGCACACACAAAAAAAAGATTTCATTCATTGTGACCATGTTGGGAAGGGCAATGAGATCCAGGGCAGGGGAATTAAAGTTTGAATAGAGGGCCAGGGATGTGCACTTCTAAGCAGTCCCAGTGAGGTGTGGTCTCTGCTGTCCCCATGGTCTGGCCTTCAGTCTCCTGCTGTAAGGTATTCAGACAAATTGCTAGGACTCAGTGAAATCTCTTCTCTGGTGACAAGTTCCCTCAACCACACAATTCAGGAGCTATATGGGAGTAGTGAGTCTAACAGACCATGATGAACAAATATAAACTGAGGCCCTACTATGTGCTATCTATTTCTATGGACAGGAGATTGTGTCTGAAGTAGAGCCAACACCTAGACTGTCTAGAATGCCATGTCAAACACAACAGTTTGGTGGCTTACTGGAGGCTACAACTTACTTTTCTTATTTATTTATTTATTTATTTATTTATTTTATTTCTACTCAATTGGAATAATATATTGGCTTTTTGGAAAATGTGAACAATTAAAAGAAAATGCAAAGACTTACAAAGAGACAGCATTGAGAAATACAAAAGAAAGCGTTCTTGGGCTGACAGCTATACAATGTCTAATCTATAGTTTACAGAAAGTATCTAATTTTATAATTTTTTTCTCAAATCGTAATTATTCACACAGGGGTTATAAACACAGAAAGGCAGGATGTGGGGAAGGGAATGACACTGGAGTGTGGGTGTTCAGGGGGAATACAGATATCTTCAGAATCGGGAATCGGATGGGTGAAGGTTCAGGGGACAAGTCACTATGACTCTGCCTATGTCTTGCTTATCCTTATCTAAGTTTGTATTGTCTGCCCAGGCTACCTATTTACAAGGTCTATGACTACTCAGGCTTATAAATTTCCACAAAAGCTGCCTGTTGACATTAGCTTATAGCCATCTATTTCAATGTTTTTCCACTGAGACCCAAGACTTGGTGTTAGTATACATGTATGACAGGCCTATTGCTGATTTTAGGCCTATGGCTGATTTTAGGCCTACAGTGTGTAAGCAGGGCTGCCCCTGACATCTCCTCCCTTCTCTAATTGTAGAAAGGCTGTGGCAATTCTAAACTTGCGAAGGCGGGGATAGAGGCCTGACCTCCAGTATTTGAAGGGGACCTTGTAATGGCTCCCGTTGTTGTCCAGTGAGGCATGAGGGCCATGCCCGTCCCGATGTCTTTTTCCTGGAGAGGGGATACTTTTGACATCAACCCCTATGCAGTCAGGCTTGTCCCTCAGGGAACCCAGATAGATATTTTTATCTTTTATTTATATTCCCTTGCAGTGCTTAGCCTCGCAGCCTAAGCAAGAATTCAGATCGACTGTCAGAGGGGGTTCTGGGTGGCCCCTCTCTGCCTGGTCTAGGGTTAGAAGTCCCCTCTTTTATGTTGGGTGGAGATGAGTTTTGGACAACTTACTTTTCTAACCCAAGCAAGTAGCTTCACCTCTGCCCGACATTGTGTCTTACTACTAAGTTTAGGCATACATGTAGTAACATAGGCATTTTTTCCCACATTTGATCATTCTCTAAAAATGAGGAGACCAGGCTTGACTCATTATCTCTTTCCCAGATCCCACAAGGAGATTTTTTGAGAAAGACTACCCCATGGGAATAAGAGAGTTAGTTTGGTACTTTCTTCTAGGAGGTTAGCCAACCTCCTGGCAATAGCCATGTTGTAATTAAAATGTTAGCTCCTAAAGGCTGGAGAGACAACTCAGTGATTAACATCACTGGCTGTTCTTGCAGAGGACCCAGGTTCTATTCCCAGCACCCACATGGTGGCTCACAACCATTTGTAAGTACAGTTCCAGGAGATTTGATGCCCTCTTCTGGTCTCTTCTGTCACTAGGTACATATGTAGTGCACAGACACACAGGCAAAACATCCCCACACATAAAATAATAAAATAAACTCTTAAAAAGTCTTCTTACAGCCAGGCCATGGTGGTGCACACCTTTAATCTCAGAACTCAGGAGGCAGAGGCAGGTGGGATCTCTGAGTTCAAGGCTAGCCTGGTCTATAGAGTGAGTTCTAGGATAGCCAGGAGTACACAGAGAAATGTTTTGTCTTGAAAAGCAAAAAACTAGTAAAAATAAAAATAAGAGTTCTTTCAATAATAGCCTTAAAGGTATGCTTCCTCTCAAGAACCGTGTGAGGAATATTTCCTGAAAAGTTTTTTTCTTTTTTTTTGGTTTTTCGAGACAGGGTTTCTCTGTGTAGCCCTGGCTGTCCTGGAACTCACTCTGTAGACCAGGCTGGCCTCGAACTCAGAAATCCGCCTGCCTCTGCCTCCCAAGTGCTGGGATTAAAGGTGTGCGCCACCACCGCCTGGCTCCTGAAAACTTTTAATGTGTACACTAACAAAGGGAAACATTGGGCAATTGTAATGTTTGACCCTTATTTGAATTCTCATCAGAACAAACATAAAATATGTCAGATACTAGGAGCCAGCTGAATGCTAACCGAATATTTTATATTAAGGCTTATATTTAGGCATGCAAATAGTAATTTGGTAGATTTTTCTAGGTCTTTATAGTTTGAAGTACATGCTGAAATTTATTGATCAAATTATATGACATGGGGTTTGCATCACACACTCACACACGCACACACACACAGCCTGAGGGGTAAGGTGGACGGCATGTAGAGTTATTACCTCTGTCTGTCTTCATGGGGTGGGGGCCTATTCTTTAGACTGGCATCACTTACATTGTACATATAAGTCCCAAGTATACAGTCTGAGGACGTTTTTAACATGTATGTACCCGAGTGACTACCACCACAACACGTGAGCCATTTCCAGCACCTCAGAAGCTCCCTGCACCTTCCCTCACAACTACTAATTAGCTGCTATAAAGGGAACTTTTGATCCTTATCATTACAACGTTTTGTTTTCTAAAAAAAAAAAATTACTAAACTATAATTTTTGTGGTTGAAATTTCTTGGCCATTATTATGTCTCATGATCCATATTTATTTTTTTCAATAATTTTTTTTCTTGGTTTTTCGAGACAGGGTTTCTCTGTGTAGTCCTGGCTGTCCTGGAACTCACTCTGTAGACCAGGCTGGCCTCGAACTCAGAAATCCACCTGCCTCTGCCTCCCAAGTGCTGGAATTAAAGGCGTGCGCCACCACCACCCAGCTATCAATAAATTTTTACTTTGATAAATTTTTACTTTTATTTACTTATTATTATTATTAATTTATTTGTTTATTTATTTAGTGTGTGGTGTGAGTGCAGGCATTTGTGTGACATCCATCACACAGCTGGGAGTCAGTTCTTGTCTTCAGCCTGGATTTATGGTAAGGTTTCATCCTGTATCTGCCAATTAATTCATCGTCTACTCCAGGCAAGCCTGCCCCTCCCTGCTGGGATTACAGATGTGCACCACCACAGCACACTGTTCCACGTGGGTTCTGAACCCAGGACCTCTGGAAGAGCAGTCAGTGCTCTTAACCGCTGAGCCATCTCTCCAGCCTGTTTCTTTTCTTTTTAATTGACATAATTTAACATGTGTGTGGAATGCCCATCACAGCAGCACTTACCATGGCTTTTGTGATGAAATCATTCATAAACCTGTCTATGATGATGGAATGAACCATTATTTTAACCTATATCTTATTGGAGGGTGGGCATTTTATTTTTATTTTGAGACACAGTCTCATGTAGCCCAGGCTGGCTTTGAACTCTAGCTCAGGGGCTGCCCTTGAAACTCATTATGGAGCCAAAGCTGGCCTTGAATTCTTCATTCACCTGCTTTTAAGTCCTAAGTGCTGAGATTACAGACATTTACAAACTATAACCTTTGTTCTTTTTGCTGTTGTTTTTGTTCTTTGATAGCTCTGAATCAACAGGAAACATAGGAAGCCCTTGAACTTAACAATCGTCTTGCCTCTATCTCCCCAGAGCTGGGTCTACAGACAACTACTACTGTGTCCGGTCCCCCCCCCCCCAAAAAAAAACTTGGACTTACCTGGCCTCCATGGACACGCACTTCACACTCATATGCGTAATTAAAAAGTAAAACTGAAAACATTTAGCTTATTAATATATTTCATGACTATGAAAGTATATTGAACTTTTACCTTTAAACTTATTAGTAATCTTAACTATGAAATACTATGAGATTAACACTCAAACTTAGTTTGAAAAGTACTCTCAATTAACCTTCTTTATATAGAAATTCAGTCCACAGAGCCAGGCAGTGGTAGCACATGCTTTTGATCCCAGCACTTGGGAGGCAGAGGCAGGCTGTGAGTTCGAAGCCAGCCTGGTCTACAGAGTTAGTTCCAAGACAGCCAAGGCTACACAGAGGAACCTTGTTTTGAAAAACAAAAACAAAAAAACAAAAAACAAAAACAAAAACAAAAAAAGAGGGAGGAGGAGGAGGAAGGGGAGGAGGAAGAGAAGAAGTTCAGTACACGGAAAGCACACACGGAAAGCACACACGGAAAGCACACACGGAAACCGTAGTCACATTAGTATTAATGGCAGTTAAGATTTGCCCTCCTGTGGCTACCCTGTCTAACCCTCTAGCTTTTCTAATCTAGCTCATACTCACTGTGTGTGACGTCACAGGAGCTGCTGGACAGGATTTCCCTGACATCTCAGAAGAAAAAGACAAACCTAAATGACGGCTTTGAAAATAGCAAGCTACTCAGAGACGCTGAGAGAAATAGCCTATAAAGTACAAATGCTTGCTGGGATGTACCTTAGTGGTAAGATGCTGGCCTGACATGAACTAGGCCCTGGGCTCAAGACCCTGGGCTCAGTATGGTAAGACAAAAATAAAGCAGAAACATTTAATTTTGAATCTAATGGCAAGTCTTGGAATTCTCTAACAATACATCGAATGCCTTTTATTTATAAAACTTAAGTACAAACTACATGTGCTTTAACCAACTCTCTTCTGGACCTTCAGCTTCACCTGCCCAACAGCTTACGAGACATCTTTATATGAGCCTGCAATCTTAAACATATCATTTCCATAACACCCAGCCCAGTCCCAAACCACTGGCACCATGAGGATAAGGAGTGGGGTGGGGGCGCAAGCAAGTGTGGGATGGGAATGTAGCTGAGGAATAGAGTGTCCACCTCGAATTCCTGAGGTGCTGAGTTCAATCCCCAACACAATGAAAAACATGTATCTTGAAATATACAATTGTTTGGTACATAGCTGTGCTGCCCTGCCTGGCTTAGATACAGGCTCGCAGTCAGCATCCCAAAAGAAGATTAAAACTAGGGTTTTTTTTTTCTCCCTTAAGCTAATCATTTTAATATTACAAGATTTACTAGAAACTGCAGAAGGTGGAATGTCATCTCGTTAATTTGAAGTGTAATTCTGTAACTTAAAGGGCAATTTTACAGAGTAGTTAAGAACATGGCCTCTGAGCAAAGCAGATCTACATTTTAAACCATCTCAGTCGACTGCGAGTTCTGCACATGGGACCCGCCATCTAATCCCCTCAAGTTCCTTAGCTCTTTAAAAATCTCAGCTCCTTAACTATGAACTGATCGGATGCTTCAGAGGGTCGCTTAAATGATCAGGACAACAGCTAGGTTATAGAAAGCGGCTCACCAGACATTATCAGAAAACAGAGTCTTTAAAACTGTTCAGCAAAATCACTATCTTCAGATAGATTTCATTTTACTTTTTAAGATTCTTCTGTATAGCTTAGTACCCCCTGCCTGCAGCACATGTAATTGTCACATAAATGCTTTTATTTTTTTTTTTTAAAAAAGTTGTATTAAACTTTACCTTCTAAATTCCAGAGTTTTTGTTTCGTCTTTCCAGTACCACATTCCTAGTCGTAGTCCACATTGCTGTGAAATGAAATGATTGCATCATATATAACTAAAAGTCACTTTACAACCCACATGTCCCCACAAATCTTGAATAATTCCTGCTGTTCTCTCGTTAATTCTATCAAATTAATCACATGGAAGATGTCCTTGAGTTTCTGATCCTCCTGTCCCTACCTCTCCGTTGGTGGGATTGCAGACATTCGACGGTACCCCTGGCTTATGTGATTCTGGGAATCAGGATCCAAAACAGGGATGGGTGCAAGCTAGGATGTCACTCAACCACCTAAATGACACCCCGGCCTATTTCATTTTATGTGTATGGATATTTTGCTTCTTGTGTCTGTATCTGTACACCATGTGTGTGTGATGCTGGCAGAGGCCAGAAGAGGGCATCAGATCTCCTGGAGTTGGAGTTGGTCATGAGCCGATTTGTGGGTGCTGGGAATTGAACCTGGCACCTTCAGAAGAGCAGCCAGTACTCTTATTCACTGAGCCATCTCTCCATTGTTTTGTGTTTTTTTTCTTGGTTTTATCCTTTTGTTTTCAAATGTGGTTTCAACATGGAAAAGGGAGAAAGAATGAAGGAGAGAAAGTGGGACAGCAGGCAAGGGGAAGGTGGGAAGGGAAAGGGAGGAAGGAAATTTAGCTCAAGGCTAGTCACAGACATTCAGAAGATGCCATACAGCAACCTTTGGTCTAGATTTAAGTTAGACTCCATTAAAGAAGAAAGGAAGGAAGATAGAAAGGAAGGAAGGAAGGAAGGACGGTAGGAAGGACGGACGGACAGAGGGAGGGAAGGAAGGAAGGACAGCTGTCTCTGACGTCCCTACTTTCAGGGACAGAATTTCGCAAGGTAGCAGGGCACAAACAACCAGCCCTTGCTCCCTCCCCGGGTCCTACCCAAAGCCCAGCTTCTCCTGTAGTCGGACTACCTATCTCACAACCACATACAGAAAGGAGCGGACTTTCATAACGATCTACACAATCGTGTGGGAAGCCAGACAGAATTCAATTTCCACAACACACCTCTTTACTTTTGCGTTTGGGGGCAAATGTGCTCAACTGTTCTTGAGAACTGCAGGTACCAGACGAAGGCGTCGACCCCCCTACGGAGGAGCCCGAGCGCAGAGAACAGGACCAGGACGCCAAGTGCCGCCCTGGCCTCCCTATAGAGTCCCGCTGGGCTCCCACGATGCCTGCTACACCGCCCGCCACGCCGAGGGCGGGTCCCGGTCAACACTGCCCTCTGGTCACCCGGCCCCGGAGCGTGCGGCCAGGCTGCACTTACGTCCAGCCGGGTGGAGGATTGCCCGACAAACTGCCTCCTCCTGGAGTAAAACTCTGGGACGGAGAACATGTCTCACCCTTGAACATCACACCCGCGTCACCTGGGATACCGCCACGCCGCCACCGGCTGGCGCCGGAGGGGCGGGGCTTCCGCCGGACGGGGGACCCTAAGCACTCTGCGTGTCCCAACCTCTGTTGCGCTCGCGGCCTGCCCGGACTTGACGCTTCCTGCAATAGTGCCCCCGCCCCCATGAACCCCTCACGCTGTGCTTTAATTGGAGTAACTAGGTACAATCCTATAGGAAAGAAAGACCTGTTCCAAGACCTTGGCTAGCACAATGAAGCTGAAGCACAGCGGACCCTAGCTTGATTTGGAGAGTTCGATTAATGGAAGAGATTATGGGCACGGAAATAAAATGGGTTTTTTTTGGCAGTTCTGCTTAACTAGTGGAACCTGGTTTTAACCTACTTCTGAAAATATCCACTTCTCCAGGACGGTGGTGGGGCATGTCTTTGAATCACAACATTCGAGAGGCAGAAGTAGACCTCTCTGAGTTTGAGGTCAGCCTGGTCTACAGACCGAGTTCCAGTACAGCCAGGGCTACAGAGAAAAAGCTTGTCTTGAAAAACAAAAATAAAGCAAAGCAAAACAAAACAAAACAAGCTCAGCGCGCTTTCTTATAGAACCCAGACCACCGTCCCAGGAATGACCCCACCCACAATGGCTGTGCTCTCCCCGCCCCTCCCCCAATCATTAAGAAGAAAACGCCCTACGCGGCTTGTCTATAGCCAGATCTCATGGAGGCATTTTCTCAGTGGAGATTCCCTCCTCTCTGATGACTATAGCGTGTGTCGAGTTGACCTAAAACTAGCCGGTACAGTGTGTAAAGCACTGACCTTGGTAAGTCCTCTAAATTAGTGCTGCTCTAAACCGGAAGCAGTGACAACTTGCTCCGTGTTGACTGGTAGTCAAACGAACTTATGCTCGCACAAGTCACGAACCTTGTGCTTTCTCTTCGCGGTTGACCCAACACGCAGATTTGGGTTATTCTCCCCTACCCCCTGCAATGTAAGCAGTGCTAGAGGAAGACAAGACAGGGAATACCTGTAGCCCCACAGCTCACTAGGGGTGAGACGCATGGTAAATATTCAAGTATGTGTGCCCATAAACTTTACGATGATGGCAACGTGCATGTCACTGCATGCTCTTGTCCCCCAGTCTCCCAGTCACTGGCTATGGCGGTCTAAAACTGTAATCAATACATCACTGTCCTAGTCTCTGGACTTAGTTCTAGCTGTTGATCAGGTTAGTTCAAATGCATGGGAACTTCCAGTGTTAAGTTTTAGGATAAGGGCAAAGCCTGCTTACTAATTGAAAGGGGAAAAAGAAGATAGTATCCTAGATGGCCAGGAATTATTTAACAGCCAGTATCTCGAGCTTGGAGTGGAGCAAACAGGAGAAAATGAGATACAGTTTCAGAAAAGACTAAGACCTAAGAATCTAGTTTTTCCTCAATCAGTAGAGAATGTGAAAACAAACCCAGATAACCCTCTAAATGCATTAAAGGCTAACAGAAAATCAAGGGTTTTAGAGACCTCAACCGTCTCTAACCTTGGTCTAAATTAAGGTGAAAAGGACGTTCCTGAAAGATTAAAACAGCATTTAAAATTCACATGAAAAGCCAGGCATGGTGGTGCAGGCTTGTAATCCCAGTACTCTGAAGGAGAGGTGGAGGCCAGCCTGCTCCTCCTCATCCCCGCCGGAAGTGAGAGCTGACTGCCCCACCCCGTGCCGGAAGTGAGAGCTGACTGCAGACTGTCATCCCCTGACATCTATATGCATAGGGGAAGCACATGGCTACACAACAAAGACAATATGAACGTAACGAGCTTTTTAAAGCTTATACTGCTATAAAATAGAGATATCCCATTAAGTATCCTGTGGAAGCTTTTGTTTTATAGACACTAAGGAGAAGGGCCTGAAAAGATGGTTAAGCGGGTAAGGATGCTCATGTGAAGTGCCTGGGTTTCTTTCCCACCGTCCACATGGTGGCTCTTAACCCGTCTGTAACTCTAGTTTCAGAGATCCAATCTCTTCTGATGTTCGAGAGCAGGAGGTGTACATATGATATACATACATATATACATACAGAACACTTGGAATACATAAAATAATTTTTTAATTAAAAAAGCAACTAAGGAGCATATAACACAGAACAAAGTTTCTGGTTTCAGATTTTTCAGACCCAACAGTAACTGGATATTAGCATGTACTTGTGCTGGGCATGGTGACCTATGCCTTTAGTCCCAGTACTCAGGAGGCAGAAGCAGGCAAATCTCTGTGAATTCCAGTCCAACCTGGTCCACACACTGAGTTCCAGGACAGCCAGGGCTATGTAGTGACACTGTTTATTTAGTGAAAAAGTCATAGAGTTTCACAGTGTTGTAATTTCAGCCCCTGGGAATTCAAAAACTGCCTGGGCTACAGCAAGTTAGATTCTAAAAACAGAACACTTCTGATGCCAAGTACTGAATAAACATTCCTTTTTTAAAAGATTTATTTAACTATATATATGAGTACACCATTGCTCTCTTCAGAGATACCAGAAGAGGACATCAGATCCCATTACAGATGGTTGTGAGCCACCATGTGGTTGCTGGGAATTGAACTCAGGACCTCTGGAAGAGCAGTTGGTGCTCTTAACTGCTTAGCCATCTCTCCAGCCCTAAGTAAACATTCTTGACTGCTTACTCCTAACCTTCTCTGCACTGAAGGTGGTGAAGAAGAATACTTATGGCATCTTGATTTGTTCTAAAAAAGATACATTTTAAAATTAAGTATTGCTCCATAAGCCAGAAGTGAATATGCTCTAAAATATTTATATCCCGAGAGTCATACCAAGAACGAATCTGGATTTTTTTAAAGACCTGTAAGTTTTACTCAAGAATGAACTACTTTTGTGTATCATTTCTTCTCCCCTCTTCCCTTCTCTTCTCCCTCTTGCTCCAGCCCAGCTTGCCCCAGGCCTCTGCTCAGTCCAGCAGATCTCATTGTGAACCACTATGCTGGGAATTGAACTCAGGACCTCCGGAAGAGCAGTCAGTGCTCGTAACTGCTGAGCCATCTCACCAGCCCCTGGATATCATTTCTAGTTAAGAACATTTACTCATGCCTATTTATGCACTAAACATACAGAAGCAATTGAACATTCCCACTCTTATTTAAGATTCATTTTTATTGTGTGTGTGTGCGTGTGGGTGTGTGTGTGGGGGGGTATGTGCACATGAATGCAAGGGCCACAAAGGTCAGAGGAGTTTGATTCCCCTGGAGCTGGAATTACAGGCAGTAGTAATCCACCGGATGTGGGTGCTGGGACTAGAACTCGAGTCCTCAGGAAGGGCAGTATGTGCTTTTAACTACTGAGCCATCTCTCCAGTCCCCTCTACTCTAATTCTTTATTTTTCCTTTGGTTTTTCTAGGTAGGATTTCCCTGTGCATCCCTGTCTGCCCTGGAACTCACTCTGTATGTCAGGTTGGCATCAAACTCATAGAGATCCACCTGCCTCTGCTTCCTGCTGGGATTAATGATGTGAGCCACCACCATCGCCCTGGTTCCTAATCCTAACATATATTCCCTTAGCAATGGTTTTGTAACTTTTGTGTGTTTAAATGCGATCTTACATTCATTTATGTGTGTAGGTACATGCGTGCATGTGTGAGCAGGTGGTATAGCAAGGACAACTTGATTGTCCTCTCCTATGATGTGGAGCCTGAGGATGGAGGTAAGAGAGTCAAGGTTGGTTTGTTTTTATTTTAATTTACAGACTCCAAAGGCAAGGGGAATATGCTTTACACACAACTTCTACAACCTACAATTTCAAGTAGGAATGTCATATGTACCTATCCATTTAGCTTGATAAAAGATCTTTTTATTTTATCCAGATATTCTGATTGTACTCCAGTTTAAGATAAAAGATTGATCTCAGCAGGTGGATCTGAGTTCGAGGACAGCCTGGTCTACAGGGCAAGTTCCAGAACATCTAGGGTTACACAGAAAAACCTATCTCGAAAAACAAAACAAAAGAAAACCCAAGACAACAACAACAACAAAAAGAATAAGACTGATAATAGCTAATAACGGGGGTGGCGGGGTGGGGTGGCGGGGTGGGGTGGCGGGGTGGGGTGGGAGGAGGCTGAGGATGTAGCTCAGAATGCTTGCCTAGTGAGATGACTCAGTGGGTAAAAGTGTTGGCTGAGGTGCCCGAGTTCAATCCCTAGGACTCATGTGGTGGAAAGAGAGCTCCCACTCTCACAAGTTATCTTCTGATTCCACATGTGCACTGTGGCAAACACACAACAACAACTCAAATTAAAACAGAGCAGGCTGGAAAGATGGCTCAGTGGTTAAGGGCTCTTGTTGCTCTGACAGAAGATCCAGGTTCACATAACTGTAACTCTAGTTCCTGGAGATCTGATGGCGTCTTCTAGCATCAGTGGGTACCAGGCACACACATGGTGTGTGTGTGTGTGTGTGTGTGTATATGTATGTATATATATATATATATTCTCATTAAGCCTTTTCTGAATATTGAATGGGTGATATATTAAGTATCATGTAAGCTATATTAATATCTCCTAAGATATGTACAAGTTTTAATCTCTTTCCATTATACAAACAAAATAGAAATTTAGAGTGAGATTCAAAATGTCACAGATCTCAATTACTGTAAGCATATCTTATTTTAATAGATTACCCCAATTTATCACCTTTAAACAGAGATGTAGTAATCAGACATTCAGACACAAATGTGCCTGCTTTGTACTGCCTTTTTTAATCCCTTAGCTTCTATTTGGAAACGAATACTGCATTTGCTTTAGTCACTCCAGCTACTATTTGGAAGTTCAAATGATGTTAATTATTCCTTGGACTGTAATTTAACCCCCCCCCCAAAAAAAAGCAAGCATTGTTTCCAGTGCTATTTGACCAGGGCTGGCCTAACATGTGGTAAGGAGTTCCCAGGTGTTCTTGAGTTACTGGTTTCAATTAACTCTTGGAAACAGTGGCTATTTTAGTGGCTTTATCTTAGTGATATTCAAATCTAGAT